ATAAACTGAATATTATGTCTGGCTCTTGGTGATGTCAGCAGACATTTACCCTTTTCACTAAAAATCACCTTACATTTATTACAATTTGTTTTTCTACAATAACTGTTTTTTTCCACTTCCTAATTGAGCAATGCATTGGTGATGTAGTCACAGATGCATCCGGGGAAGGCTTCATCCCCAGTGCCTTCCTCGGAAATCTCAACTGTAAACTGCAAACTGCAAAATCTCAAAACATCTCGGCGAAAGGCATTTTAGCCCCCTCAGGTCATGTGTTTCAGGAAGCAGACCGAGTTCTAGGAAGTAAGGGAAGATGGATAAATCTGCCCTCAGTGAAATTGGCCACTGTGAGGAAAAGGGTAAAGAAAAAGACGTTATGCAAAGAATAAAAGCCTGCAATTATCTAGAAGTATCTCCTTGTTGCCATCACTAAACATTTCTAAAGGGGCCTTTGTTGCCATGTTTACAATAAGGGTGAAGTTCTTCTTTAAGGGCCCCTTTATGATGCAAGATGATCATTATGAGCATAGCTCAATCAGCTGGTATTCCCTGTCCAACGAGAATGCCACAGGGGCCAATAAATGCTTCCATTAAACTGGGATATGGCAATTGGTGGAACTTGGCCATTAAAGGAGATTTATGGGGTGAGTGAATTACACTGATTCCCATAATTAGAGCTGATGCATAAAACTGAAGCGCTCAGATAGGCTCTATTGATCGGGAACTGAGCATTTGGTGGTATGTTTTCGCTTACTTCCCAATCATCTCCCTGCAGAGAGCAGGGATTCTCAGTCACCGCTCCCCGCAGGAATTCCCTCTCCCCTCTTTGTTCCTCCAGCCTGCTATATACAGTTTTGGGTCACAGGAAGACATTAGTACATGTCCTCCTGTGACCCTAAAAAGAGAACTTTTGGCAAAAAAAAAGGTTGGACCATAGTTCCCTTTTATGATTTCTCTCAACTTTCATTTGTGAAGTTCAGGCTACATGAAGATGGTTAGTATCAAATAAAAGTCCACCATAAATCCTGGTTTGTCTAATTCTCTAATTGTGGCCGCATTCAAAAATGTGTCCTCAGCATGAAGACCAGTTTGTGAAGTCTTAGAAGCTATAACTGGTTTCCTCATAGATGGTAACCAAAACATTCAGCGTCAAGCCGATAGTCAGTTTGGGTTTCATGATAATCTTTGTGGAAAAACAGTTTTAGATGCAAAGTACACAAATAGCAATCAGCTGGTGGAACATGATATTGTATTTACAACTGACAATCTGTATTTTGTTTAAGTATTACGAGAAACAACTAGGTATGCCCCAATGTTATCTTCTTCATGGATTAAAGAATAATTCCTGACAACAAGTGAGCTACTAATGCTAAACATCATAGCTGTGATAAAACCTGAAGTTCCACTCAAATGACCCCATAGGAGTTCTGCTTCACTGTGACCAGAAGCCAGCTCAAACTGGTGATACAGGAAACAAAATATTATATACATATATTATACACACTTTTTCAGTACTCTCACTGACAATCACATTCAAACTACCAAAGCATTAGGGACTGTGAGAAACTTCTTACAAATATTTTTTTCTATATGTTATATGAAATAGCAATGATGGTTGGACTGGTGCACAACAGCAATATCTGGATAAAAAAAACAAAACTGAAATGCTGCAAAGAAACAGTGAACACTGACTCAAGGTTTAATATTTGGGTCAGACAGTAATGTACTGGAGGAAGTAGTGGCTCACATGGCTATATAGGTTGTTGGATTTAGGTGTATGTTTAAAAGAATGCAGGAAGTCTCAGTCCATGTGATCTTCTGCCCCTATGTTATGTGTACGCTACATTTCTGTGTAGTCAGCATGTAATTAGTCAATATCTTCTTTTCCACATGGTGACCAAATCCTGACTACACAGCTTATTTACAAGGTATGCCCATACTAGTAAGGAAAGCAGAAACCTAGTGCCAATTGCGCCAAAACAGGGCCACGTGAGTCTGTTGTGGCAGGAAATGCACTTAGGTTTCCCATTGACTACAGCTTGCTATCATGTAAACTGCATCCTGTTTCAATGTTCTTCCTCTGCACCAAAATCCAGTTTTGGTCACCGGTACTCCAAAAAGATGTCCTTGAGCTGGAAAAAGTCCAGCAAAGGGGAACCAAACTCATTAACAAGGCTGTTAAAAATTAAATACGTTCTCTTTGGAAGTAAGGCGATAAAGGGGGGGCATGATTTTCCTGTATAAACTGTTCAGTGGTGACAGCAACCTTATTAACAAACTCTTTACGGTTAACCCCATAACAAAGACCAGAGGGCACAACCAAGAATTGGTGGTGTTCAGTAATCCCCAATTCTCTCCACACAGTTTGAGGTTTGTCAGATCTCACTATCACTACACCGCCCGCCCACAATCCATGAGATTTCTATAAACTCAATGTGGCTCAACTTGAGAACTATGGGACCTTGGAACAATTTACTGAAAAATGGATTAGTGCGTTAAAAATCAGTGAAGCCACTAGCAAAAACTTCCGTGACGTGTTATTTTAAGAATGGGTGTAGGCACTAATGGAATGTACTGTAGGAAGTAGTTTGCTTTGTTTAAAAACCAGTTGCGTTTCATTTCTTTATGCTATGGCTTTGCCTGAAAGGTGTGGCATGTAAATACTTTTCCTGCAATGCTTATAGCTTTCAGGTCTGCCAAACAGCAAGTTATACAATTACTCCAGCCCAGGTGCACTGCTAACTTAATCTATAACTAACTTTATACTAGTAAATTTACAGCTTCAGAATGGCTATATGGTTAATGCAAATCAGAGGATTTTGCTCAGTGCATAGAAAGGATGAAGTATCCTGCTGAATAAACATCCTGAAAGTACAGAGTTTAAACTAGCCCTAAGATTTGCATTGTGGCTTAAAACCTGTATAATGTGTATTAAATATTTTGTTCTGTAATCCACGGAACTTCTCTTAAAATAAACTACAGGAAAATACGACACTCAAAGCCACAGATGCTAGCAAAACCTATGCGTTTTTGGAGGCCTTATTTTGCTTGAAAGCTACCAATCTGGTTTGCATTTACCAACCCATAACGACATTCTAGACTAGCCATCTAGACTGCCTAGGCCTGATTGAGAAAACCCAGAGGAAATATTATCCATCTCTTTTTTTTTCTCCCTTTCTCAAAAACACAGTAGTCAGAACTGCCGGATTTGTGTACATGGGCATATGCTCACATCTGAACGGACTTTCTTTACCATCCGTACAAGTCCTTGACCACAAAGCAACTCCAGAAACAAGTAAAAAAAATCATACTGCTTTTTAGCTAAGTTTTTTTTCCCTTGCTAATGCATTTTTCAATCTGGAATTACTTTTCAGTCTAAAAGGAAGAGGTCAAACATTTTCTCCAGGTGCAACGTATAAGTTTAATATTTTAGCAATATGACAAACATTTCATAGAAATGATTAAAAAAACTACAGTTCACATACATAGTTATACCATATAAAACTTAGCTTAGATGCAGAACAAGTCAGGTACCCGAGAATAATCCAACCTGTTTTGTAAGACTAGTGTTAAAGATTATGGCATAACTGATGCAATATACACATAAAAAACCCCACAAAATTCTCCAGGTATTTAATTTCTCACAGAAATCCTGAAAATACATTGACTGAAATTCAGTAAAGAGCAAAGACGTAAGCACAAGTATACATGACAAAACAAATGCAAGCAAATGTAGAATAGCTACATAGACCTCCACTGCACACTTGTCCCAGCTCTCTTTACCAAATCCTGGCCAATATCAGGTAAACAAACAGTGTTGGTTTAAACTATATGAAATATTAACCCTCCAGCACAAAAAAAAAAAAGTGTCAAATGCACACAATAGACATGTGGATTTAAATAAATAGAGGAGCAACAATGCCCTAAATGAAATGCTAAAGTGATCTTTCATTGTATTAAGTTTGATATGAACAAGATTGAAAAAATTGAAAAAACACACTGTATACCAGCTGGGGTTTACATTAATAAGAAGTCATCATTTTGTCTGCCAATATATTAACCACAGGATCATGCATGAATCAATCTAGGTGTGGGAATTTGATAATTGGAAAAATCACTATTGCTTCTGTGAAATTTGAAGATGACCTTTAAGAAAGGTACCTGTGTGTTTTTGGATCAGTGGAAAATCAGCGTTCACATTGTCACTTCCTTAACTTCATTACCTTTATGGGAACCATACCATCTGCTTGCGTTCATATAGTCAGGAGCTCTGACCTCACTTTTACATATATACTTAGAGGACTATGGTGTGGTCGGTGCTTCTGACTTTGTGAAGCGATCAGGCCAAGTAGTCCTAAGAAGGAACTCGGAAAAGTAGTACCTTGGGGTGCTTGGTGAGAACAGGCATTTACAAAGATGCATGCTTAAAACCTGTCAACCATTTTAACCATGTAAAGCTAAAAGATCTGCCTCAGTGAAGATGCCACAAGGTGTCCATTGTCTTTACTCTCCAGAAAAACTATTCTGTGCACATTTCACTATTTACTACAGGTCCAACTTCCCACCAAAGCACTGCCCAGTTACCATACTTTTTTCAAAGAGTTCATTGGCCATTAAGGGCACCATTGTCGGAACAAGGGGCTGATGAGGGTGGAGCTTAGCCAAGAAATAAAGCCCTTAAAAAAGGGGGAAAAAAAGCACAAGAATCAGAAGAGTACAATGTGTGGTTTTCAGGCTAATAAGGCTTTGGCTAAATGGCTGAAAGGTTCACTTTATACATAACTGCAACAATCATGACTGCATTAGTTTAAACTTTTGCATCAAGACAGTTGGTTTCCTTCCAAAATCGTGCCTTCTATGACAGGTCCTATCAAAGGAATATTTTATAGGCACGTGAAAAGGATGCAGCAGCTGTCAAGAGTTTATACTTTGTTACTAAATGGCAAGGTAGTCTTGCGCCTGAATGATTACACTTGTGTACACTAATGTGTCATCAGTGGGCAACAAAGACTGCTGCACTGCTAATTTCTTCATAGTTCATAGGCTAGAAGATCCAGTACAATATCACAGCATCTTGAATGAATGTGGCAGCATTATGTTGCAAACATTTAGTCTCCACCAGGCTGGTACACGGTTCCAGCAAACAAAGTCATTGACATAAATAAGACAGAAAAAGGGGAGGAGTGCTTCTAATATACATTTGCAGAAACATGTGCAAAACAGTATTTTCACAGTGAAATGTAAGAATTCTCTTAAAAGTCACAGGCAAGGAATGCGAGGAGGCGTTGCCCATCATATTGCTTACTTTATGGAGGAAACAAACGTGTAGAAAGGATTAGAAAAAGCTTTCCTGAGATTAAATTCCTGGCTTTCCATGCAGTTCATTGATCAGCTTCAACAATAAAATTCCTCTGTCCAGCAGAGACTGGTGTACCATCCGTGTAAACATCAAGTTTCATTCTGCATCTTCTAGTAGCCTCTGCAAGCTTCTTTGAATCTGCAAGACACATTGAAAAGAGTTCACAGGACTAGATTGGGAAACTGATTTTTAAAGCCAAGGCCATTGCAAACTAAATTTTAGTTATAGGTGGATGCTTAGTGGACTTAAATTATTGGATACTTTTATCTCTCGAAAGCTTTATAGCAACAAGCTCCTGCTGTCCACCACAGGGTCCCTCCCCGTGGTGGACAGCAGGAGGAACTAGCGACAGCTGCAGGGGAACCACAGAGATCGACACTTGTGGAAGAGTCCGTTTCCAAGTCTACTACAGAGCATCCAATTTTTATGGGTATGCCTTTTTGGGTAGCTATTAAATGCCAAAGATCAAGGGGACTGATTTAATACCAGTGTCTACACTTTAATGCATGTCTAATTTAATGCTGCCTAGGACTGATGCAGCAACATTAGTGGTACCTTGTCAAGCTTTTCCAGGTTGGCTGTTAACTCTTCACATATTAGGTTTGCGTTAATGTGCCAACTGCCAATTCCTTGTTCAGCAGACCACCTATAAAAAGGAAGAAGTGGATTGTTAGCAATTTACTAGTTAACATAGAAGTTTAGGCAGCTAGAAACTGGCGTGTCTATTGAAGACATTCCTTATATGCTACTATTGTTACACATGCATACAAAAGTGCCATTTACAAAATGACACCTGCTCCCGGTAGCTATACCTTAAGCACTTCTGCTGGAATGACATTTCTTAGCATTCTCTCTGTAGTTCTCTCAGGTGGAAGGGCCATTTGCAGCAGTAGTTTACACACTGCCACCACAATGCCCATAGGAAAGTCTATGCAGTATTCATTTGTGTCATCTGTATCCCTTCTAGTACAACCCTGTCTCTTCTCACCCCAGCTCCACCTTCCTCTGAGCCAAGGACACCAACAGCGAGGTGCAACACCTTGGTGGTACAAACAAATCCCCCCAAAACTTTTGCTCGGCAGCCTCTTCTTACACCTACAATGCTAGCTCAGCTGATCTGTATCCTGCAACTACCAATTGCCTGGAAGCTCAGGGCACCAACAGGAAGTAGGTAAAAATTATCAGCTGTGTGTATAAATAAGCTGTGTTCTGAAGCACCAAAGCACCTTGCCAGCATATTTACCCAGTGTGGACAGAACCAAGCGTGGAAAGACGTTCCTCTAGATACGCAATCCTTGACTGCATATACAAGGTGGAGATAATCAGCAGACAGACACTGTGAAGAGATCATAAATAAGAACATTTACAGAACATTTTCAGGAAAGAGAAAAATTCAGCAGTGACAGAAGCAGCATTGTTTTCCCATTATGAGCTATGGTTTAAACAACTGAAGCTCATTGTACAGCTCTAATCAGATCAGGGTGGAAAAAAATAAATACTGCTCCCTAATTAAAGCAAAATCAGACAGAAGTGAGCTGTCAGACTTGCATGCTTGATTTCTGGGCTAGTTTCATGTGTTCTGTCCCCCCTTACTCCTTTTATTATCCAAAACAAGGCCAGTCCTGGTGATGGGGAAAATAGTGATTGGGTATAACCTTCTGACCTACCCGTTTAGTTTCAGAGAAGACTTTCTGGGCTGCTGCAAGCTGCCACCCAGAAGTACTGAAACATCACCCATACAGGCAAAACAGGACAAGTTTGGCCAACTCTGCTTATGGTCACCATCAAGATTTTTTTATTTTTTTTTACTACCTCAACAGGAATAACTGGAATAAGTGTAACCACTAAAAAATCCCCCCTTTCTATTCCAATGTCACAAAAACAGAAGGGGACACAGACTTCATTAAAAATGATATGACAGGGGCTCGGACCCTTCCCAAACTATCAGAAACAAAAATGACTTTAGATACACTAAACCCATTAACACTGTACATATGATAGACTTGAAAGTGGTTTTCAGAAGATCGATCTTTCCAACACACAAATTTATATCCTTCCCAATTGAGACTGCCTTCCTTCTATTTCCTGGCACTGTACTAGCTCAAAGTGTAGCAGCACTTTATCAATAGTTTCTCAGTTGACCTGGAAAAAGTATGCAGATCAAAAATCAGGACTCCTCATATGTATACTTGGCTCCCATAAGGGAGTTCGGGACCCAAAGAACTGAAGTTTATTGCGTTTTTGTCTAAAAAAAAAAAAAAAATGTGAACTGGAGCTCAAAATACCATAGGAATACATTGGACGCAGTTTTGATCCGAGCTGCACCTGCTCTGGATCTGCTCCGCGCTTGGTGTGAACTAGCCCTTATAGTCCATATAAAGTTGAAATGGGTTATGAATGTCTGAAAGCCTCATTAAAACGAGAACAGAAAACAAATCTCTATAGCCACATTTTGCTTTTGGATGCAAAGTTTGGAAAATAATAAAATGGTGATCCATATTTTGATTGGATGGGTTCCCATCAACAACCAGCTGCTTTCCATCTGCCAAGAGAAGCTAAGTTGCAAACTTTTTAGCGTACAGTTCACAATTACACAAGTTAAAAAAAAGTTAGCACTCTTGCAACAGGGTCTGAATTCCACCAAGGACACGGTGTATGGATTTGGCATGTTTTGTACGTGGTGTTTTGGGTGTTTATATTGCACCCAGCAACATACTTGTAGGTTGATTTTAGACTAAAGTGGCTCTAGAATGTATAAGTGGGCTAGGGGCGTTTTGTCAAGGATGCAAGCTAATGTGTACTCAATAACTTTGCTTTAAAAGCATTAGCTTTTAAAGCTACATTTTGAGCTTCAACTGGCAAACCATTAAAATCAATGATACGGTTTCTGTCATATTAGAAGCAATACAAAGTGATGTAAAAGTTAGCTCTATGAGGTTCAGGTATATTTGGCTTCTTACATTGCGACAGAAACATTAAAACACAAGACTCTCAGAATTGATATAATGCATGCCGGGAAATTGACAACTTACAGAATTGCATAGAAGAAAAGCAAACCATTCAAGGAGGTAATCTGTGAAATGTTCAGTCTCTTAAAGACGCTTTTGTCATCTGTAAGAAAAACAACATGCAGTAAATAACACAAGATACTTTGCTCGTATGTAGGTTTGGATTAAAAACCTTCCTAAAGCATCTTACCTGGCTTTTGTTGTATCAATTTACTTCTTTCAGGGCTCTTCATCTGACTCTCCACAACTACAGGTTTGTGAGACTTTATGACATTTTTGTCTTGATCCTGGAATTCTAGACCTAAAACAAATGTAAAAGGTCAGTGGATGTTCTACACAGTGGACCAAAGAATGCAATATTTGTAGCATTAGCAAACAAAGGCCTGCAACGTCAGCCATTCGCATTATTTTTTTTTCACATCTTCAATGCGCTTTCAAAAACACATCAGACCTACCAAACAGTTTATTCAGGGTGATCGGTTGTAATGATCTAATTGATAACTTGTTTGCGATTGTGAGCTGGTCGAAAGTTATTGCGTTAATAGAATGTAGTATATTAATGGAATATACACTTTTTGTAACATTCTAGCATAATCCAACTTAACTATGGGCAAACTAAATGATATATGCTTCAGTTTGTCAACACCATATACAGTGAAGTTTTTTTTTTTTCATTTTCTGAGTCGCCCATTTAACTCCCTGGTGTTCTTGCTAGTAGAGTCCTTAGCTTTTCTACTTCCAGGCAAAGTTCCAGTTATAGGCATTGGGACAAACCATACAAAGCTGACAGTGATGCTTACATTGATCAGCTTTTAACTATTTGTCCATCTAAGACAATCCTGTCCTAAAGGGTGACAATTAAGTTGTATTAGTGCAATGCAGAGTGAATAGCACTAGTCACCCTATCAGAGGTGGGGAAAAACACAGCTCTATTGGCAAGATAAACAGATAAAATGGCTAAGAGTTTTATTACTCGTGAGATTGCATAGTTACTCATTTTGGTTTTAAAATAAATTCAGAATGAAAAGAACATAGGCTAACCTTGGGAGTTTTCAGATTCTGGTGTTTGAGAGCCCGTGCTACTGTATTCTTCTATGTCCTTTCTTCGTGTTCGTACCAAACCATCAATCTCTGAAAAGTCTACGCTGAAATCCTACACAAAAAAAAAAAAAAAAAATGGATAAACAAGGCTTACCATCGAAATACCTGCATCTCTCTAACTGAGCAATTTGACAGCTTCTATCTATATATTTATGTGTCTTACTCCGGATGTAAAAAACACATCACTGCACAAGCAGATATCCCTCGCCTCATACTAAAAGTTATACAATGCGCAGAAAAACCTATACATGTCATTTATACTGCCTTGGGGCAAGCTGGGATTTTACTTCACATGTGAAAAATAGCAGCAAACATGATGCAAATTAATATTGTTGATACATCTATCTAAAAAGAACTAGAAACTAACCAAAGTATTTGGCAACCATGATGGATTATGCCCAAATAAAATCAAAAGCAGTCTTTTTGACAGATTTTAAACTAATAAAATAAAAATGGGACCTTAAAATATTTTGATTAGTGGAAACCACCACAACCAAGTTATTTCTGTAGCCCTCAATGAGACCTCTGCACCTGCAAACAGGGAGTTTGGCCCAGTCTTGAGCAAACTGCTTCACTGTCTCTGGTTTGAAGGGGGCCTTCTCCAGACTATGTTTCAGTTCTTTCCATAGTTCGGATTCAGGTTAGGGTTCACAGAAGGCCACTTGAAAAAGTCCAATGTTTTGTTCTAAGGCAATATTGAGTGTCTTTAGCAGTGTGTTTTGGGTTATTCTCCTTCAGGAGGACCCATTACCTGGGATTGTAAAAAAATATCCATGTATTGTGCTAAATATCTAGTCAAATATAAAAAAGGAACAACATTCTGTGTTTTTGCTTACAAGTGGAAAAGAGGCAGCATGCTCTCCTCTATCAATGTGATCTGTAGAAGGATTGGGACTGTTTCCAATACTTGCGTTCTGTAAGATGAGAAACACAACAAACTATGAGACTGTCTCAGAAAAAGACAAAACCGAAAATGATGCCAACATCAGAAATTAGTTACTTGGTTTTGCTGGCACATTCTACAGAGCTTTACAGAGTAAATCAGTCCCTGCCTCTGAAGGAGCTTACAATAATGTTCTTACCACAACTGTACAAACGAACACTCTAGGGCAGTGGTACTCAAGATTTAAGACCCCCCCCCCCGCCCCACTAACAGTATACGTTTTTCAGCTCCCTTCAGATTAAGATGAGAGCATGATTCTCTTATGTAGGTTACCAATTATTGTAGCTGACTGCACTGGGAAAATATGCAAAAGTTGTTGGCATCATGGGTTGGGTTGCGCACCGCACAAGCTAATCTCCCACTTTGTAATACGATATATTGTTGAAGAAAATCTGCTGGATAGAGCCCACCATATAGCGAGTTGCTATTGTAAAGTACATCCATGACTCCAGTGCTGTAGAAAGTGCTATGAACCCAGATTAAGCCTACAACCACATTGAAAGCGAATCAACCTTTACAAAAGAGGACTTAAGGGTAGTGACACAGAGGCAGTAAAAAAAAACAAAAACAAAAAAAAAACAAGTCGTCTTAGTAGCGTCACATTTTAACCAGTTGACATCCGCGGTGTTAAACCCCCTTCCCATCCAGGCCATTTTTCAGTATTCAGCGCTGCGGTACTTTAACTGACATTTATTCCGTCATGCAACACTGTACTGAAATTAATTTTATACCCTTTTTTGGGGACAGATAGAGCTTTCTTTTGGTGGTATTTATTCACCACTGGGGGTTTTATTTTTTTACTATATTAAGGAAAAATTACCGAAATTTAAAAAAAAAAACAGTTTCCCCTATATTAAATGATAAAACATTTATTATTACCCAATTTTTTGGTAAAATATAAAAGATGGGGTCACGTCGGGTAAAAAGACACTAAACATGTCAAGCCTTAAAATTGCGTGTGCGCGCGAAACCTCAAAAAACGATAATACCCAAAATTGGCCCTAGGCGACGCTTTAAAAGCTGTTACCGCTCATCAGTTTAGTGTTATCAGTGATTGATGGCCCTAAAATGATTGCTCTCACTGCGACGTTCGCGGCGATATGTAACATGTGTAGCGCAATTGTAATTTTTGCGCGCTGGGGCACCGGACGCGTATTTACGTTTATAGGCGCGTAAACGTGGGGGTGGGGGAGTTAAACATTTTGGGGGGGTTTTTTCCCCTTTTTTTATATGTGGCTTTTATTTTATTTTATTTTTTTATGTGTTACTTTTCTTTTTTTTTATTTATATTTTTTTTTTTGCACTTATTGTTATTGCTATTATATAGGGGGATAACAACCCCCTATATAATAGCAAAGGCACACTGACAGGTCCTCTTTATGGAGATATTAGGGGTCTCTAGGACCCCTAATATCACCTATGGACCCCAAAAGAAGCTGATAAAGCAGGGACCCGCCGATCGCCTATATGTGAAACACCCGGTAACGGGTGTGTGCATTTAGCGGGTCTTTTCTGCCCGTGCGTGCCCGCTAGGGGGCGCGCGCGAGCAGAAAAAAATTGCCGTCTGGAGACGGCAACCCGCAGATGCTGCAGTGCCGTCCGTCCGTTTTTTTACTACGGACGGACGGCAAGAGGTTACATTTGTAGATTCATCTCAGTTTTTAGCCTGTTTGTTGTGAGGTTATACCCCAGTCCAATTTCTTGAATCGCACACTCCCCAAAAAAGATAAGAAAATCCAAATAGTTTATTCAAAGTACATTTAAAACCATGTTTCTGTATATTCTTATTCCTTGAGCAGACATCTGTTGCTACAGTGTTTGTATTCAGTGCAGAAAGCCGCTCCCACTTTAGTGCACATTCATAAAGCTGTCAATGCGACTTTTACTAAAAACATTCACTGCAGTGAATCAGATATTTAAAAACGCATGCACCCAGAAGATTCCTGTTAGATTTACCTTTGTGAAAACCAGCTTCATAAATATGCCCCTGTATAAATTTGCCATGTGCAGTAACTACAGGTGCACAGTTTTTGGAATACTTACATCAAGGTGGCTGCAGATAGACTTTAATAGCTTGTAGGTGGAATCCCGTGCTAATAAGGACACAAATATAAACTGTATAAAGAAAAAAAAAAAAAAAGGAAAAAAAATGTAAATATAAAACATTCTTATGTTTGATTATGAAGTGTAGCAGTTGGGTGAACATTGTATGAAGGTAGCTGAGCTTAAGACAATTATAAATGATTTATTTTCCCCTGGAGGACACCCCGCCACCATCGAGAATTTAGAGAATTACTTACCCGCTCTGTGACGGTAGCAACAACAAGGGCATTTGGCACAAGTATGGCAGTTTTGGTTTTCTTTAGCACTGTTACAGCAATTGTTGGGATGACAATCTGCAAAATAAAATTGTGTTATTAAAATATATGACACACGGAAGTGTGCGTGATGGCCTTCCAAAGTCAATTAAAGCTGAAATCCAACCACAGGCAAAATACATACTAAAACACAGCTCTTTCCCCCATCTTGATAAAGTCATTGAGGTTTTTCTATGCAGCTTGCTTCAGTAGAATTCAGCACAAAATGACAGTGCCCATTTCCTGTGCTCTGAGAAGCATGGATGCTGAATTTAAAGAAGCAGTCTCAACCTCAGCTTTGCCTGCCCAGCTCACCACCCAAAGATAGTTACTATATTAGACAAGCAGCTAGGGTTAGGTTGCATACTGCCAGTATTAAAAGTGGCAAAGGTTATCATGAAATGTTCTGCATAAGGGACTGCAGAGCCTTCAGCCCGAGCTCCCTCTTGGAGCAGGCAGAAGTTTACAGGAGCTGCAGCTGGTCCATGCATAGTTATTTACTGCTGCCTGGACTGTGACAAGGACAGCTGGTGGGAGAGCAGCGCGTTTGTGGCTGTATTGGTCTCCGTAGAAAAAAATGGTACATGCATGAATCTATAACCAGCCTTTATAGCAGGGTGCACATTGGGAAGGCTTACAATACAAAACACAAAAATTCCCCAGCCTCAGCCTGCAACCAAACAAGTAGCCCTGTCAACAGTATGCGTTAAAATCAGAGGTTTTAGTTGCACAAACTTTTGGCCAAAAATATGTAGAAGCCACGCTGCCGCGCCAAGGCACCTCTGCAAAGTGTGGTCCTAACTCTATGTATCCGAGTCTCCAAGTGTGAGCGTATTAATGAAGTTGATAAATTACATGCAGGTGCAGTTAAAGATGCAGTTTAATTGCAGGTTGTTCTGCATTAGCTTCTCTCCTCCTTTTATAGCCGAGTAGCCTCTCACCTCTGCCAAGCATTAGCTCTGCTATTTCTGCCCCTATACTCCTGTCTTAAAGCACTTGGATGTCTAGGAGCTGAAAGGTGTGCAGAAGCGGAGAGAACATCGTAATGCTAGTACTCACGACAATTAAGTAATGCATTATTGGTTTGTGACAATCGTCTCGGAACCTTTACCAGCGTTGTGCAATGATACTACTAGCAAAAGGTGCAGGAGTAGTCTGCTGCTCTGTACCTGCCATACACACTCCCATTCTAATAAGTCTATGCAGTATGTTGACACAGGACTAATGGAAAACGTAGTTTTGCCAGGTGCACCTATTCCCTTGAAATGACATAGAAGACCTCTCGATCTATCTGCATTGCTCCCATGAGTAGATTTTTTTCAGCCTGTTGGCATGAATTACTCAGAACAGGGATAAGGTAAATTAAAACCAGGGACATTTATAGGAAAGTAGGAGGCCAATTTCAGGATGCCGACATAGGTTAGTTTTTAACTACACACCATCCTAGTAAATGCTTTTCATTCAGTGAAATTCCACCAACCTTTGTGTCTTTCCCAAAAACCTTTGAATGGAAACAAATCCAGTTTTCTGAAATGTATAACTTTCCTTGGTACAAAATCTCTTTCTGTAATGCGCATGTAAAACCTACAAGTAAAAATACAAACACCCAGTTACAAATATTGAAAGCAAGATTACCTTCTAGAAATGTTACTACATAGCTTTGAGTGTTGGCTGCAACATCTGCAGCCCTATAGTGGAGAAAGGAAGAACCTTCAAAAAGGGAAGCTCACAAAAGGAACCCTTGTGAGAAGCTTTAAAGTGACATTCTTCCCGTCTCCACCCCCTGGTATGTATGTATACTAGTCCTGGACAGTGACGTCATTCAAAGCTGAATAGGCTCAATGTCAATGCTTTTACAAAAGTCAAATAAAGGTTTTTTTGCTTTCAAACCACCATGACTACTTAATGGGCTAAAAAAAAAAAAAAATCCCCCCAAAAAATAACAAACAATGACAGAAAGGACACAAACCATCATCCTCTGCTAGCAAACAGCAAACTCTTAAAAGCCGACCTTGCATTAAAAGCAATGTGTGCTTTATAAATAGGATATCTCCCCCATAATCAATAAGTCAATTAAAAGGGGGGGGTGAATAATAATAATACAAAAAAGTTAGCAAAATAAACTTATCCTGGTCTCCACCCTGGGTGCCTTGAGAAGTTATCACTATCCTTTTGGCGAGATCCCCAAGGATATATTGGGTTTACATGCTCCTGCACTGTTCTGCAGGGTCTTCTCGCAAGATTTGAGATGCTTGAGGTCCTTTGAAATCTCAGCAGAAGTATAGGGACGTCACCCTCTGGTCTTTGAAAGCCAAAAAAAAATTTTAGGTTTACAAATTATTTAAAATTTATATTAAAAACAGTCTTGGTTGGTAAACAAAAGCAAGCCCACTCTTTGGTTTAAAATCTGATTTCTCCCAATTTCCTCATAGGTAAATAGCATGCAGATAAGGATACACTTCTTTAAATTTGCTTACTTTCTTTTAATAGCTCGTCCTTTGGAACATCTTTGAACAACTTGTGGAAATGTGCATTTGCCTTCATGAACTAAAGGAAAAAACAAAAAGATTAAGACAGTTAAGATAATGATGAAGTTTTCATTAAAGTGTTTTAACCCTTTGTCCAGAGGGCAATCAAATCCTTTGTGACCTGACCAAAATTAAAGTCAATATGTGCAGTTCTAGTCAATAACGTTACCAATTTGCATACTATACACGATTTTCAGTTGCTGTAAATTTAAAAGAAAAAAAAAAAATGACCTAACAATAGCAAAAATATTTGGAAGTTATTAAACACTAGATTAATAACTAAAAATATAAGCAAATACATTTTACTCTTAAATAAATGACAATTTGACACCTTGGCACGGACTGCCTGTCAAGCAGAACTCACTGTAGTGGTTGCGAGTGGTGATATGATGTGGTGGTGGATCAGGGAAAGGGTTTTTTTTTTTGGGATCATACGATTTGTAACCACCAAACAATCCTCTGGGTTGCTGATGCAGTGCACTCCGAGATTAAAGCTATCCTCTGAAGGTGAGGCTGGAAAGAAAAATCTTTACTTGAGAATTATGAGGCAAGTGATTTTCACTCAGCCTCATAATCTGAGCCGACATTAGACAATTAAACTGTCATGGGTCGGCTCAGTAGATCGGGAAGTGAGGGAACACATACCGGCGCTCACTCACTTCTCGATCTATCCCTGCAGAGAGCCGTGACGTCACTCACAGCTCCCTGGAGGGATTTCCCCCCGTCCTATACAGCTGGCTCCGCCTATGGATAGGCAGAGCCAGCTGTCAATCCCGCAGCTGGGTGGATCTCGACAGCATTGTCAGGATCTGTTCTGGCGTCTCAGTATGCAGAGAGCTGTAGCTCGCGGTATACTGTGCTTTGGGTCACGGGAGAACGCTAGTTTGTGTTCTCCCGTGACCCTTAGGAGAACTGTGGGGAAAAGCCCTGACACCCATAGTTCTCCTTTAACCTTCTCCTGGCATTGGAACCTGTCTTGGAGGATGTTAATTTACTATTGAGGGGTTTGTAAGGGGTTAAAAAGGACCACCACCATAAAATAGAATTTACATTTTAAGTTACAAGTATTAAAAGCATTCAGTTATTAGCAAATATGTTTCATGCCCGTGAATGATGTATTCCAGCTCCAAACCAAATTTTTTTAAAATTTTACTGGCTATTGGGGTTTATATTACAGGCCTGCTTCTTTCATCTACAGAAGGTGTCACTTGTACAGCTTATACCCCCAGTTATGCTCATTCTAAAAGATGAAAAATTTCAATAGGTAGAGTGACACCACTAGGATCAAGGCTGAGTGGGGTTGGGCTTTGACAAATATGGGAGGAGAACATAACGTTGAAATGTTAACATGCGATAACACAAATGCACAATATGAAATTCAGACAGCAGGTCTATTTCAGCCCAGTTGGCACTAGCAGCTTGGCAGTAATAAATGACAAGCAAGCATGTTTAATGGACAAAGCCCGTCTGTTTTACAGTTAAGACTTGAGTCAGAACAATCCAAGAACGCTGATCGCCAAGACAGACACTCTTGCCAATTACGCTTTTAGCATACATTCAATTTCATCACCAGAACAATATTCCACTTGTTTGAGAGTGTACAGTTACATAAAAAAGGCACACTCCTTCGAAGTCCCATATTAAGGTTTAGTGAAGCCACAAAATCATGGTTTAGGACTTGTAGTATTCTACGCAAACTGGAAACACGTTCATGTGTATATAATCAGGGGAATAATGAGTCACTCCTTTAGGCATGTGCATTCATGTTAAAATTATGGTCTTATTTTGTATGTTTCTCTTTCAAATATCAAATTGAAAAAAAAAAAAAAGACAAAATTCAAGCCATCAAGTAGATCCAAAACGGTAAACTACTAACGCAGGTCAGTAAATAGCAGCTGTGCTAAAATCAGAAAGGTCACAATCCTCTGTGTAATGTACTGCAGCAGCCCAAATCCAGAAAACAACGCACACGGACACTGGTGGTCACCTGCATCAGCCTGTGATGTGCAAAGTCTTCTTTCACCAATCATCACACGGAAATTTCCAGACAACATGTTTGACATTTAGCAGTAGCTGTGAGAAATTGCTTAGCACCAACTTTTTTTTTTTTTTTTTTTAATTAT